TCCAGATTTTTAAACATACTTTTGTTTTTACTTCACTGCTTTTTTAGGATTATCTCCACCTATATAAGGATTGTGTTTCATGAAGAGACTACTAAAAAAGAATCCCTTGCTGTCAGTTATTTTTGCCTCCTCTGATTCTATATCTTGTCTCACCAGTCTAAAGCTTGAAATCTTCTTAAACTCAGCAAAAACATTCCCCCCCCCCCCGGCCCTACCCCAGGGGAGAGCAGTTTGCTGGATACTTTTAATTCTTAAATGATGAATAGCAAAAAGATTTCTCTGTAACATACCCACTAACAGTTTATCATCAGGAAAATAATTTTACTTATTTGCCTAGCAAATCAGTATGCAGGAAACCATTTTTGTTTCATGCTTCAGCTTTTCTTCCTATAAGAGAGAAATTTGAAACAACTTAATGAAGGGTATGTGCACGGGAGGATAGATAGTGCTGAGGGTGTGGTTTTTAGATATTTTGGCATTTGGATTTTTGGTCAGGATCCGTAATGTTTTGCATCAGCTTGGGCTTTTAAATTAGATGTGAAGTAAGACTTCTTTCTACATTTTTATAGTTAATTTAGTGAAAGATGTGAAAGTGAAAGCTTGTGAAAGATGCTGGGATTGGCAGCCCCGCAGACTGAAGTCCTCTGTTCATCCACAGAACAGGTACAGCACGGGCAAGATTTACCCACCCACCCTCAGCCCTGATCTGGAGGGACCACCAGTAGGGGTGGGAGGGTAATTCAGCTTCTGAGGCCCTTTCACTCCTTGGAGTCTTTGCTGAGGCGACTTACAAAGGTGACCACTGCAGTGAAATTTTTCTTAAAAAAAAAAAATAAAAAAAAAATGGAAAACACAATTAGGAACTAGATGGACATTTCCAGCTCATTTCTGAAAGACCTATGAACAGCAGTCACTAATTCTTGGACTTCTTTTCTTATTTCAGATCCAAAAAGCTAATCCAGGAATCTGATCAGCACCTCAAAGATGTAGAAAAAATCTTGCAGAACGACAAACGGTATCTAGTACTAGACTGTGTGCCAGAGGAGAGGCGTAAACTGATCGTGGCATATGTGGATGACCTGGATCGCCGGGGTCCACCCCCACCCCCCACAGCTTCAGAGCCCACAAGACGATCGACAAAATAATTCTGTCTACTCTTCCATGGGGTATCTTAATTCAAAACGCTTGCATGAGCCAATTTTCAGGTTTTTACATGTATGTGCATTAGTCAAACTATTGCAAAACCATCTGACGAGCAGAAGGAGAAGCATTTGTGAACAGTTTTTGAACAGAGAACATTTTGGAAATATTTATGCTTTTCTTTGTGTGGCATGACTGATATACATACTCAAATATAGGCTGTCTCTAGTAAATCTAAAATCTTGAATCTAAATATCATCCTTTTATGAGGTGTGGAAGTCAGTGACTTTTGGTGACGTTCTTTCTAGCAGTGTTATACATGCAAGACGTAAGAGCATTTGTGGTTTGAACTTGCAAGATGCAGATACCACAGACTCCAAGAAAACCTAAATTGGGGTTTGTTTTGTTTTGATTTTATTTTCTAAAGCGGGTAAAAGAGAAAACACTGAAAATTGAATTCATATCTTCCAGAAGCAAGATTATTATAATGGACATACTTTTACCTTTGTCTCTGAAGAACACTTTAGTTTTATTTGTTCACTTATGTGCTTTGATTACCCCCTCTGAATTATAGGCCAGGTCTTGTTTAGCCTCAGAGAAGATTTTTTTAGTAATTTCTTCTCAGGTATGGAACCACGGTCATAACTAACATGTTGGCTCAAATAGGACTGCTGGTGAAAACACAATTTACTCTTCATTAAGTGATCTTTATCAATATTCTGGATTAGACAACAAATTACCTTTCTGGGTATTCTCTGTAAACTATATTCCTGTTTGAATGTTAAACTTTTGTTTCTAAAGTTTAATTTTAAGATGTTTGAATGTTCAGTTTATGTATTTGAACTACAATAAACCAACCCTTTTTATATATGTGGATTGTATATGATTATTGTTACATAATTTATAAAAGCTGCTTTTAAGCCTGTGTAATTTGGCTCAAAGAAAGTTGACTTTAAGTCTCAAATATTATAGTTTTTAAAAGCTTGAATATTACAATAACTTGCAGTATGAAAGGGAGGGAGTTTATAAAGAACCATTTTTTGGTGCTCAATCTCTTAGCACTGTCTTATTGCTTCACAGCAGAAGATGCTTATTTTTTTGTTTCCTTGTTGTGTCTTATATTAACATATGGATGGTTAATGCCCTTTGGGGAGCCTTTCAATATGCGAGACACATAAAACTTATTTTTGATTCCCATTGCTCTTTACCTCTCCAGTTTAAGAAGTTCCCTCTGTTTCATTCCTTCAAAGGTCTGTCTGATTTCAGGCGAACGCATAAATACAATTTTAAGCTATTTTGTGTTAATAGGATAATTTATTTTCTCTGTTATTCACACCTACTGTGATTGCAGCAAGACCTGAAGAGAGGGAATGCCAGCAGATCTGTTTTGTATGTTCGGTGCACACAGTCACACAGTTAGACATCTCCACTTATGGCACTTAGTACTCAGCTGAAACACACCTACTGCCAGACTGTAAATGCTGTGGAAACCTGGACTTGACTAAGGTCTTAACCTGTAAAATTGATAACTAGCAGGATATGTTTTCTCCTTTCCTTCCCCTTTTTTCTCTTGAAGTTTATTTTTATACATTCATTGAGTGATGTTGAAGGTCCATGAGGAATGAAACTAAAGTGTCTGCCAAAAGAAATAACAGCTATTATAGACATATGACTGTGCTACTTAGTTGAAATTTCTAGAATGCTTTATTTTATTAAACTGAATGCCACATAGCATTGTTTGCTTACTTTTGTTCCTCACGGTGGAGAAGTGTGGAAAAAAAATGGTTTGGTGGTAGTTCTCATTTCCTACTGGTATCACAAATTTTTTGAAGTTTTTCATATGAGATGCAAATCAAACTATGCAGATTTCTTCAATAGATCAAGTTAGGACTTTGTGTGTTGGGTACTTATTTATGAAGTCAATTTCGTGACTGTCAACAAATTTCTTAAAAAATACAGTGGCTTGCTAGTGTAAAGGGCTGACCTTTTCGTAAAGTGAGCCCCAAGCATCCAAGTGATGATTTTGAAAGGAGCATTCAAGACAAAGCTTTAAGTTTCCAACCTATCTGGAGTAAACATAATTGTTTTTATTTGCTTACAAGCCAAAATGTCAGACACTGGAAATTTACAGTTTATAATTATTATATAACGAACAGGAAAACTTTAGTTCAAATAGTTCAGCAGAGACAATTTTAAAGCTAATTCCTTTGTATACTTATCATGTCACAAAACAGTATTCTTGTGAGCTTTAAAAAAATTTCTAATAAACCAAGTTAAAACATTTTAAGTTCTGTCATGAAGAAACAAACCATGATCACTAGTAAAAACAAAAGCAAAAAGTCCACAGAACATTTAAAAAACAAGTTCTCTTCAGAGCATTTTTTTAATGTTTCACATTCTCCATTATTCGCCCTAAATACTTTTTTCTTTTTTCCTCCGGAAGCAACCCAACCCCTCAGTGAAAATATCCCTGAGTTCCCTTGCAGGGTGAGCCAGATCATGGGTAAATGTCCTTACTGTGCTTGAGAAGAAATGTGGTGTCATCGTTCTGTGTTTCTTTGTCTCGTCAGGTGACTCTTTGGAAACAAAATCTTGGTTTTCTTTTTGTATTACTATTGTGCTTTGTTTTCTATTCTCAGTCAAATTCTTTTGTCTCCATTGAATTTCTTTCCCTACTACTAATCTTTTTTTCTTTTTTTTTTTTCTTCTCATTACCCGTCATCATCTTTTACTTTAAACCTCTTTGGTTTCGTAAAAGGTGACCAGAGTTCCAGTTTAATACAGTTTAACAAGAGATTATGTCTTTACCCTTCTCCCCCTTTTATGTTTGAAGACTACCTTCAGTAGTGAGTTAATACCTATAGTTTAAATTAAGAGAAAGGATATTTGGGAGACCAGATTGATTTTGGCTTTACAGAAGAGAATTGTCTTCTGCATTTTGCACGAGTAGATAAAAACAAAGGGTAATCGTGAACTTGTTTCCTATTACCAGAATGTACAATGTCATAATAAGCTGATAAAATCCTAAGACTTAGAAACAGACTTGCTGCAGTGGTTTTAAAAATATCAATGCCAGTTATGAAGTATAGTTGAGTTTACTTGGATCTAGCCCCACAGAGCCACGATTTTAAGATCAGTCCAGTTTCTAGGATAATCAGGTCATGTTCCTCAGCGTGCAGCCTTCAGCCATGAAAATTCCTTATGGATTTTCATCAAGTAGTTTAACATTTTTAAGCAAGGAAGACTGCATTAAAATGTATTAATAAATGTGTTGAAAACTTCAGATGGAAGTAGATTCTGAGCTCTGGTTATGTGAAATAAAACTTGATAGGCTCACTGAGAGCTAGCAGGAAGAAAACTATAGGGAGGTTTCAGCCTTGGCATTAACGCGCACTCTGGCTGGCACAGGGCTGGCCCTAGGGAGTTCCCACCCCCACCAGTACAGCCCTTGAACAAATGACATCTTCACACAACAGTTCACTGAACATTCAGGTGATAATTCTAAAACAACTACTGATCCTAGCTTGGTGTTTTACTTACCAACATGCACATTCAGACCATGCAGACTGAAGCATTTTTGTAATTCCTAGTGGTAGCAATTTTAGATTTATATGGTAAAGTCTGCAATATTGATTCACAGCGGTACAAATAAAGACAATAACCTTAATTAGTTCTGCTTTGAAGCAATCTACTTATCACAGTCTGCTCTCTCTTGATCCTCATGTTCCCAGGGGGTAGGGTCATTGTCTTGTACACAAGGAACCGTGTCCCTCTCGTGCCAGAACTGCTTCACGTCAGGGAGGGTGGAGATCTCTGCCTTGTCGGTTTTCTCTTCGCCGGAGGAGGGCAAGCCAGTTTCCTCTTTCTCTGGTATGGATGTTGGGGATCCTGGAGATGGGACATTGTCTGGAAGGACCACTGAGTTGCCAGCTGGTGTTTCCAGAGATTCTGAGGCAGTCAGATGTCTTTTGATTATCATCCATTTCCATACACCTTTCACACCCGCCTTGAACTCCTCTGACATCACTAGGAAAATGAGAGGGTTTGCTGAAGAGGTGGAAAACATGAGGACTTGGGACAGGGCAATGAAGCCCTGTGGTGGGGCTGGGCTCCCAGCTTTCAGATGCCACATCCACAGCCACCCTATCCACTCGGGGAGCCATAGAACAGCAGAGGTCATGGCCATTCTCAGCAACATTACTGTGAGTTGCTTTGAGCGCCTCTGGTTCCTCAGGTTCTGAGTCTTAGTCCCTTGTCTTTTACATTGGCCATAAGCTCTCCAGAAATAAAAGCTGGCCAAGAGTAATGGGAGGCAGAACACGAGGAGAGGGTAGAGCTTTCCAAACATCGACACGAACTCTTCAGCCACAACTGGTACATCCATGAGGCACATTTCCACACCGGCATGATGCCTGGTGGTGCTGAAGAACCATTCTGGGAGGGGGAGCAGGCTCGCCAGAGCCCAGATGCTCCCCAGCACTGACCAGACGGTGCAGTCATGGATACTTACTGGCTTGGCGGGGTCCCTTGCATACATGAAGCATACTTTAGCCACCACCAGAATTGTCAGGCTCTTGGCTGCCATGCATGTGTGGACGAACCAGTCGGAGGACTTGCAGACAAACCAGCCTAGGTCCCACGCACCTTTGGTGTAGGCTGTGGCTCGGATGGGTGCAGAGAACAGGAGGAGAGAGAGGTCAGCCAGGCTGACGTTCAGAATCAGGGAGTGGATCATGGATGGCTTTCCTTTCCAGGCTCCGTGCAGGAGGATACCAACCACACACAAGTTGCCCACGAAGCCCACCAGACAGATCGCCACCAAGAGAGCGGGAACTAAGGTCCTCCAGCCCTCAGAGTCAGAGGGCAGATACCCTCCGGCAAAGTGCAGGTGAATGAGGGACTCGTTCATGGCGCTGGAATTGGAGGCTGGCAGCGTCACCTTTTCCATCCAGCTCCCCTGCAGAAACTAGCTGCTGTTGTCCCTTTTGGCTCTTGTGCAAGAGACCAGTAAGCTGTCATCAGTGTCAAGTGACACCCCTGGACCCTCCCTTTGCTTATTTCCTGAGAGCAGACTGTGGAAGTAGGTTGACTGCTAAGCTTTTCTGCTCAGGATGGATCGTGATAGCACAGAATGACAGGCACAGCACCCGTTTGCTGCTCATTAGCAAGTCTAATCTCAGATCTCAGCCTGTGGAGTAAAAAAGCCAGTATACCCATAAATGATGAATGAAGACACACATGTAAGTGGCCTGTGTTTCTGGAGGGTCTCTGAAGCCAGTGAGGACAATTATTTTCAACCAGCTGGTTCTGAAATCTCCACTTTGGGTCAGTAATTCAATGAACACTACACCTGAGTCTTTAAGCTTCAGTGTGCACCAGAATCACCTGGCTTGATCCAGTAGGTCTGGAGGAAACCCAAGAGTTTATCTTTCGAACAAGTTCCCTGGGAATGTTGCTACTGCAGTTAGGGAACCCCATTTTTTAAAGTAAGGACAATGTGGCCTTTCCCTCTTACAGAGAGGACTTCCTTCCCCCCATCTTCATCTGCACTTCAGCCCCATCCACAGCTGGCTGAGCTCACAGAGCTGGAAATGATTTCAGAGCTCTGAATTAGAACAGACTTAGAACTCATAGGACTTTTCAACCAGTGATGGTGCTGAGGCAGCCAGATGATGAATCAGACGTCTTTCAGAGAGAATTCCTAGGATTTACTGAGAATGGAATAAAATCATTTCAATGTGGAAGGCTTTTAAGAGATTGTAAAGATGACCTTTTAAAGTTGGGAAAAGAAAAAATTCCTTGGATAAAATGACTAGAATCAGTCTTGGTGTCCTGGACATGAAAGAAACTGGATTGTTGAGGGAAAAAGATGTGAGTGGTCTTGCATCTGGGATGTTTGTGCTGTGGAGGGTGTGCTGGCCAGAGTCTAACCCTTGGCTGCCACTAACTTTGCTTTTACCAGGTGTGCTCTGGAAACTAAGGGGCATTAACTAACTACACCAACGGGCACTGAAAATTGGGGCCGTTGTTTCTGTAGGGGCTGTTTCCTTTCCCCGAAAGAAGTAGTTGAATCTATGAAATAAACTTGTCCCACCAGTGCACAGCAAATCCCCTTTAGTGCTGTGGACAGTGACATACCCTGTAGTGCTCAACAGCATCACATTTGGGGGTGAAGAGTCTGACACCATCCTCCGGGGAGGACTCTGCGTGTGTGTGTGTGTGTGTGTGTGTGTGTGTCTCATGGATGTAGAGAAATCCTTTGCATGCTACTTAGAGCAAATGAATGTTTTGCAAATGATAAGATTATGAGAAAATTCTATCTGTTGTATATGGAAAGATCTGTCAAGGACCAAAAAGCAATGACTACTTATGTCGTGGCTTACAAGCTCACGATGCTCAAGGCTTCTGAAGACATTAAGGCAGGCATCTACATGACTTCAAGAAAGCTTTAATATTCTGGGTGTCTGAGCCATAATGGACATTAAAGGGAAATGAAAGACTCATGTGGTTCCCACACAGACTGGTACTGGTGGGCAAGAGCACCCTGGTGCTCCAGCTGGAGAGTGTTTGGCCTGAAGGACTGGAAGAAGGAGTTATCTACATTGTTATGGAGAAAATTTATTTTGAGTTTTTATTTTGAAAGAATTGCAAACTTACAGAAAACTTGCAATGATAGTACAGTTATCCTACACACCAATTATTAACATTTACCATATTTGTGTTCTCCAATACACAGATAAATACAAACACATACTTACACACATTTGCATTATTTGTGGAATCATTTGAAAAGTGCAAGTGAGTTTGAGTTTCTTCCTGTGTTATCAGTAGCTATCATAGTCAGAAAGACTATTATTTACATGGTCCCAAAGGAACTTTCTCCTTTAACAAGAATCACAGCCCAAATCTTCAGTTTGCTTTTTGATGAATTAGTATTCATATGTCTAGCTCTTTGACAAATACGTAGCTTTTACCCACTTTCGATTCATTTAAGCATTAAAAAAATATTTCTTAATGCATATATAACTGGGGTATAGGCGAGAGGTTCACGGGGGGTGAGCCGATAATAACAAAAATAATAATAATGAACAGCTATATACCAGAGACATTTTATGGGGGTGGGGTGGGGAATGAGATCAAAAACTGTTGGGGGAGGAAAGGGCACTGGACTATGGTGATGGCACACAGGTGATTTGGTGATGGGAAGCCCACGGGGATTACAACTGAGATGGAAAAAGGCACAAAATGATGTAAAAGTAAACTATTATATTAAAATTTTAAAAAAATTACATAAGTACTGGGCCCTCCCTGGTGGCACAGCGGGTTAAAGCACAGCACTAAGAAGCTAAAGCCACTTCCCATGAGTTCGATCCCCGCCTGCCCCGGAGGTGACCACATGGCGAGGCAGACCTCTCCTGACCTGCCCGCTGCTCCCCTCAGTAGTGTTATTTCGTCCATCTGCCTGTACTGCTCCCCACTCTGTCCCTGGTGAATTCTCTCACCCTCCGCATCTCTGGTCTGTACCCCAGTTCTGTATGAATAAATAAATAAAAATCTTTAAAAAAATTACATAAGTACTGGCAGTATTAGTATTTTAGAAAATATTAATTTTTGTTTGCAATCATAAATTTCATCTTTGGCAACAACAAAATATGGAGTTATTTGGGATGTAGGAAAGGTTGGCTTCCCTATTCTTTGACAGCTGAATACCTTCTAGTAGAGAAGATATTCTGTTCTATGATTAAAGAAAAAAGGTTTGAGTGGAGCAAGGGAGAGACTGTGACTTGGAAGCATCAAGCCAAAGGACAGTCCTAGGTGAGACAGGAGGCCTTGGGGAAGGGGGAGGAAAGGAAGGTCAGAAAAGAGGGACTCAATTTGCTGCCTCTGAAGCCTGGTTGCCCCCTGGGAAGTGGCCTCCCGCGTATCCGTCTCCCTCCTCCACGCCCATGCTCAGACCCAGACAAAGGTACAGCCCTGGCGCCTCACTGGACTCACTGTCCTGGTAGGGACACTGGTCACAGTGACGATGCTCTGGGCGTTCAGAAGCAGCCACACAACAGGAAGGCCGAGCTGTAGACTTTTTAAAGTTTTGCCTGATAGCTAAGTTGTGAGAGATCTCAGTTGGTTTCAACTTCAAAAGAACCCAGATAAAGCGAAGGGGTGGCTGAACTTTTAAAAAAAAATTTATAATAGTTTATTTTTACATATTTTTGTGCATTTTTCCATCTCAGTTGCAGTCCCCCTGGGTTTCCCATCACCAGTCACCCATGTGATGCACCATGTCCAGTGCATTTCCCTCCCCCCACTTTTTTGATCCCATTCCCCACTCTACCCCCACAAAATGATTCTGGTATATAGCTGTTCATCATTATCATTATTGGGGTGGCTGAACTTTTAAAGAACTTCTGATTAAAGCACAGCTAACGGTGACTTCTTACCAGGATTGGGCAATGTTTATCTTCTTGCTTAGTTCCAGAAGGGCTAATAATGAACCATCACTATCTGCCTACCTGCCTAAGTGGAAACCCCTGTGCGCACAACTTCTGGAGCAGGGAGTTAGTTCCTGCCGCCTCCTTCCAGATGAGGGTGCCGAGGTGGAGAGGATCCTCACCGCTGGCAGAGTTGGGGTTAAGAGCCCCACGAGTCTTCCCTCAGAGCTGGGGTTCCCAGGAAGGTGTTTGTAGCAAAAGTATCATGGAATACTGACAGTGCTTAAGCCATGCAGCTGTGACATAGGCCTAGTTCAGTTCACTGCTATTAGTGAGACCTTTGGTCACGGGAACATAGAATTTGTTGGGAATATGTGCCCACCCACTTCCCTCTTCTGCTAAGTGCGAAGCTAGAGATTTCAGCCCTGGAAGCCAACATGGCAGAAGCATCCCTTGCCTTGAGGAGCTGGAAGCAGGCATGGACACATGGGGCTTTCAGCAACAGAGCCACAGCTTCTGACCATGTGGATGCCTGAGAAGGTGCACCCGGTGTGAACTGGGTGGTGGAAAAGGAGGCTGTTCGTGCAGAAGAGACCTCTCAGCTGGGACCTCGGTGTGAACTGGGTGG